ACCCAACTTGGCGATCGAGTTTTCTCATTCAATAGGAAAATAACATAGTAATCATAAAAGACAAAAAAAACTTTGTCCGACATTTCCCCTTAATTTGGCTGAAAGATGACACTCATTCGATCGAAAAAGTAAAAATTTTGCATGAGAAACTACTACTATATATGAACACACCTTACAATTAAATAATAATATCTGCAAAATATGGTTGCATGACATTGTCCGTGCAACCAGGCTTTAATTTGTAAGAGAAATGGTTCTAGACCTACCTTGACTAACCTAAAACTACAATTCTATGGAAAAAAATAAAAATAAAAATAAAAATGAGACTCCAATTCTGCCATTTCCCCAGAAGAACTTCGAAGACCAGAAGTTGGTTGGTGTAGTTATCCACGATCAAGGGCAGGAAAATCGGGAGGATGTCCAGCATTGATTATTGGTTTTGGCCTTAAATCATAGCACGCAATTTGGTCTCAGCATCATCAAGTGGTTGCCCTGCGTAAAGCTGAAGAATTTGTTTCTTCACAACCAACACCTTTGAGTTCATGTATTTTGCTGATTCATTCAGTTCCTAAAAAAAGAGCAGTTCCGTTTATATTTCCACCAATCAGTGGCAACAAAAAGTAGTTCAACAACCAAGGGGGAAAAGGTAAATAAATATTTCCAAATCACAATTAGGACATTATGATAATTGTACAAAGTGATTTCTACATTTTTCAATTAGTTGGGTTCTTTCTTAATTTGGCCAATCATTTTGTAATATTATCCCCAGACGAAAACAGACAACATGGGGCTACTTATAATTTTAAAAGATAACTAGACATACTAAGCTTAACTTAGGGGTGTTTTAGCAAATATCCAAGAGAAATGGCAAAATTATATAGAAACAAGATAGGGGACTATTTCATAATGCAGCTTCATTGAAACACTTACTTTGACTGTTAAAGGAACAATATCAGCCATGAAATCGTCCATATAATCAAAGAAGGACTGCAAAAGATAACTGAAGTTGGTGGCATCTGTATGGTCCTCAAAGGCAACTAAATGAGACAGCTGTTCACCTGTGCTAGAAATGCTCTGTAATGAATAAAATCCAACACTCTCGTCATCCTGTCCTCTACCCATTACAATAACCTGAGTTGAGAGAATAACATAAGTTGATTAGTACTTCTTCTACTGAAAACTTTTGTTATGGATTAAGGTAATGTCTAATTTAAAGGTAGATGTTTTTTTCCCGACTCCCTCGGGAAGTGCTGGCGATTATGATAGATTGCATCGACAGTAACCAAATTTGAAAAATATATATAGGTACCGTTACACACAATTTCCACACTGTTATATGGGTACTAAATGTGCAAATTTTTCAAAATCCGGGTACTGACATTGTAAGTTGCCAAGTAAGGTCTTGTAATTTGGGCAAAGTTCAGGCATTGAAAATGCAATTTTTCCAAATATAAAACCTAGGGATTCTGTAATTTTCTCAAAAAGAATCTAGTATTTCCTTTTTTTTTTTTTTTCGTTTTTATTTATTTTTTTTTTCGTTTTTATTTAAACTACACCAGAATTCAGATCCCTAATATTTCGCTTGTCTGAGTTTCAGGAATAGTACTCAACGATGCACATAGTTCATTAAAACAATGATACAACAAATAGGAGCGCTATATGATACCATGATCTCTTGTTTTTTATTCAAAAACAGACGACATAGCACGAAACTCGACTCTTTTTGATTCAATGCATATAAAACCAGCGACATGAACATTAGTGCCAAACAAAAGTGGAAAATAAACTTACGAACTACACATGTAAATGATAATCATCGCGATTAAGTGATTTAAATCTCCTCACAACTAAGAGTAAGGTGATATCGATTTAAGCCAGCAAAATATGGCATAATAATAGAAAGTGAACATGTGTGTGTGTGTAAAAAGATAAATTCCAACCAAAGACGTGAGCAAGCAAAGGCAATAAGAAACTAAACACCAAAAAGTTTCACAAGTTTATGTAACATACTGTAACATAAGGAAGATTCAACCACCAAGAGTTGTTCCCACTTTCAACTTCTTGTACTGATGTAGACTTTCTAGGCTCCACAGCTTCACTCTTCAATTTCTTCCCATTATTTTTCTCGAGACCAATTCCTGTAATATATGATGACTTGATTGAAAAACTGCAGCTGGAACTTGTAAGAAATCTTTTTTTCAGTTATATGAGAGCATATTTAGATTGATGCGACAGAATAATTGTGCATAGCAACTCATACTGAATGAAAAATAATTAGATACATGTAACAACACATAAAACAGATCAGAAAACAACAAAACAACAAAATCCATCTACATCAGCATAATAGCCAGCAAAAGTCAGATGCACAGAATGAGAGTTCGAAGGGCAGTACCATTTTTCACTTTTGGTTTCTGTAAACTTTCAACATCAGTACCCACTGAACCCACAAAACCCTTGGGTTTCTCGACTGGCTTGGTTGGCCCACCTTTGAATTTGTACTTCTTCTTAAATAACAACTCCCCATTAATATCTCCCTCATATACACCCTTGTCATGAATCTTAACCTCATCATTTGTTTCATTTTCCTTCCTCAAATACTCAACTGAAGCCACCGGCACTTTTGAACGTGCCTTTTCTAACTTTTTCCTGAACTTAACCAACCGGTTGCCAACCTCTTCTTGAATTTCATTTTTCGCACAATTCTCCCCGTCAATTTCATCACTATCATATATACCATTTTTCTTCAACTCTAATCTTTCCACCTCTCTTGCCTTGTTCGCCATTACCTGAATTTCCTCAATTTTTCTCTCCATCTCCAGCTTATCTACATAAACAATCGAGTCCGGATCACTATTCCCAGCTCCCATTTTCCCGGTCCCATTTCCATAAATGTTAGATTTCATCCTCGATTTACCTTTTTCATTTCCTTCCACTTCAAGAACTGAATTGCTCTTGGTCTCAGACGATATTTGTTTTTTATGACCATCAGAATCATCCCAACTAAAGATCCAGATAGCACAAAGGGTCTGGAAAACAAAAGACCCAACCAACCAATGCCAATGTTTAAAGATTAGATCTTTGGGTATACTCACATCAACACTAGACGACTCTGAAACTTCAATTTCCCTCAATTCTTCAGATTTTCGAACTTCCTCATTCCCAGTCTCTGAGTTTTCAGACTTCCCGGATTCATGTAATAGCTGGATTTTATCAGAATCATACTCTTTTTCTGTAAAGATAGGGGTTATCGGATTTGGAGGGGTAAGTCTGGGGATAATGGGTTTTTCTAGGGTTTTGAGGATTTTTTGGCGGAGGTGGTTTTTTCTCCTGGAGGGTCTAGTGGAGAATGAGGTCAAAGAACTAGAAATCAACAAAGTGGGATTACTTGAATTGAGCGCTCCGGAGGCGAGCCGGCGGTGGACGGATGTGGTGGCGTCGGCGGGGAAATGCAGAACCGACATTTTGCCACATCTAACGGTTGGCTTCTATTCACTACATAAAACAATAGCAATTACAATTTACAACATACATAAAAATAAAAATAATATTAAAAATAAAGAGTTTTTTTTTTTATTGGTAAATTAAATTTTATAGATCAAAACTGATGGTACATCGACCGTCCCACGGCATACAAAAGCAAAGTGGGCAGCCACAATCTCGGCTCCTCACTCGATAATCAAAATTCATTGTCTCTCTCAGTTCCCCAATGCAAGATATAAGTCCATCAAAGTCTAAGACTTTACTCTCAAACTCGGCAAGTACATACGAATATACCGCGAATATTGTGCGATAAACACGGGTTGTAATGTTGCGTACCTTAAGGAGGCTTAGCCTAGTTTCCAAGGATATTTCTCTCTACTTCGGCAAGGACATTCGGATACACAGTTAAAATATTCCTGTAGACATGGGTTTGAATTTTCCGAATAATGAGCTTCGGAATTTGTACTTCGTTTTTAAATATCTTCCTATTCTGAGCATTCTAAAGAAAATACACCGTTGACACGAGTCCGACCTTCTTTGCTTTTGTTCTCCAACTGGAGCCTTGGGATTCCTTTTTAATCCACTTCAATGCACTCTTTAGAGTGAAGAGTTGACGTCTCAATCCTAGCCATTGTCGGATGCCAATCCAAACTTGAGCCGAAAGGGGGCAAGTGAAAAAGAGATGATCATTGGTCTCGGAAGTTTCCCCACAAAGGGCACAAGTAGGGTTGAGATCAAGGAAGCCAAACGTATGCTTGGTTCGGAGCCTCCCGAGCGTTGTTAGCCAAAGAATGAAGGCGTGTTTGGGGGTGTTTGCGGGCCCCCAAACCACTCACTTCCAAGGGATGGGTGTGCCTTGGGGCCGGAAGAACTCGTACACGCATGAGAGCCCCTTGCGAATCCCAAAGTCTAAGAGCGGCCTCGGCGGCTTGCATGTTACCCAACTTTTCAACCATTAGATTCTGAATTTTATAGAGGTTCTTGAAAAAGGGCGAATCATTCTTATGTATGGTCCATTCCCAAATGGATTTTTGTCTTAGATAAACATGATGAACCCAACGGTACCACAAGGTGTCTTTCTTGACATGTATATTCCATAGTGTTCGTGCCAACAAAGTTTTGTTCCACGCTTTTAGGTCCCGAAGGCCTAAGCCTCCCTTCGAACATGGAAGGGTGAGGGTATGCCAAGCCACCGGTGCAATCTTTGAGCCCCAAAGGAAGTTGATCGGCATCGTTGGATGATGAGCGTACGAACGATCGATGGGAGAGGGAAGATAGACATCCAAAAGCATTCCACTCCTTGGAGGACCGATCTAATGAGCTCCACTCGCCCCACATAAGAGAGGGACGAGGTGTTCCACCCATTAATATACTCTGAAATTCGGGTAATGAGAGCATCAAATTTCCCAACCGTGACTCTTCCCACCGTGAGAGGGATACCGAGGTACCGAAAAGGCATAGACCCCGAATGGAGGTTAGTGTCATGAAGAATCTCCGAATGCTCCAAATGGCCAACCCCCGCCATGTAGATGTTGGACTTTTGGACATTCATTTCCAAACCCAATTTAGCCCCAGGATTTGAATAGAACGAGGGTCCCCCGCGAGAGAAGCATTAGGTCATCCGCAAAGGCTAGGTGGGTGATTCTAAGAACCTTACATTTGGGATGATAGTTGAAATCTGATCCGCTAGTCGTGCTCTGGTTCATGAGCCTCGAAAGGTACTCCAAGCAAATGACAAAGAGATAAGGCGAGAGCGGATCACCTTGTCTCAACTTCTTAGCTCTTTTGAATTGGCCACAAAGCGATCCGTTGATTGAGATGGAGTATGAAGTCTTGGTGACTGACCGTGCGTCGTTACACGGCAAATTTATATTTATAAAATTTTCCTCGTCTAACCCCTACTAACTAGTAGTAGTGGCGAGCAAGGGTCGATCCCACAGGGAGTGTGGTATAAACCGTGATTATTTTGTATTAATTAGATTTAAGCAAAAATGGGGGGGGGTGGATGAAATTAAAAATAAATAAAAATAATCTAGCAAAGATGAGAATGGAATCGGTTCCAGGTTGGTCTACACCCTCGAATAACTGGCCCAATTAATGCACTTATCAAATTTCACTCGTCTTCTAAAACTACCGGTCCTAGATAGCAATAAGCTCTGCTACCCGAATTTTCCTTTAATTTATACTTAATCGAAATAGGCTCTTCAATTAATTCTAACTAGCGAATAACTCGGAATAAGCTCTTCTAATTTAACCCACTAGTCTCATTAAAATCTAAGAAAATAGACCGATCTAAGCCACAAACACATAAGCTCGGTTCATGTAACTTATGTTATGCTATCCCTAACAATGCACGACTGTTAGTTGCTACAATTGAATTAATAACTACGACAATTACGGATCGAAGCCTCAACTCTAGCAATTAACATGCAATTCCTAACTTAGGTGATCAAGCTAAATTAAAAATCACACATTATGACATGAAACTAGAATAACACAAACAATTTTATACGACGAGTAAAACGAAATAAATTGCATTAATCGAACATAGTCATCGAGGGTTCAACGTGCCTAGAACCGAATAAATATTTACCTACACATAGCTAAATGATCAAAGCAAAAATAATAATTCAACATGTCTTCAAATAAAATAGAAAAACAAAATAAAGAAAAGAAATAATTGTCAAACTCCTTCAAATGCTCTCGGTCTTCACAACAAATAAATCCCTTCAACTTTCCACAATTCTCCTGGTACTGACTCTCTGTTCACGCACGAATAAGTCCCAGCATGATAGATGAATCCAGTTAATTTTCTTTTCTTTTTCCTTTGATGACACGTAACTGTTCGGGATCAGAGTCCAAAACCCCTCAAACTCTCCAAGTCAATTCCCTTTTCCTTTTTCCCAAAGTCAAACAATAACAAATAATTGAGTCCAATAGTAATCCACTACTTCGCCCAGCAATCCGCATCACAAGTCTTCTAATTCAACAACATTCTTTAATTATTTCCTAATTCATAAAGCATTGTCACGCCCAGTCATCAATTCCCGGCCACGTCGCTTACTTAGCTGCCACATCACTAGTGTGCATAAAAACTACAAAATAAACACAAAATACGAATATTAGTGTATGTCCGTTCACAAGATAAAATACGTGAGAAAACTTGTATAATACACTAAAATCAAATATCAAATATATAAATTAAACCACAAAATAGTACAAGATTTCTCACATATCAGTGACGCACTCCATAATCCACTTAATAAAAGTCGTCGGGAATTGAAGTCCATGTAGAACTTGCCTCAAGAAAGCCCAAGAAATGGAGTCAAAAGTCTTGCAAAGGTCAATCTTGATTGTGCACCTCGGGGAAATCCGCTTTCGCATATAATGCCAGAGTAATTGTTGCATGAGGTGAATGTTGTCCGACATGTTCTTACCCCTCATAAAGGGAGCTTATATAAATTTGATTTTATATTTAATATTATTTAATATAAAATTATTTTTTTAAATGTAAAACTAATATAGACTATTTATTTAATTTTTCTATATTTGTATTTTTTTTTAAAAAAATATTCGTTTAAAATACTTAAACAATTATAATTGGAACAATCTAATTTAAAAGTTGTTACAACCAAATTTTTGGAATTAGACCGATCAAACTACATGTTATTTATTGATTGAATTAATGAATAAACTAATTGGATCAATGTTTAATATATGAATAATTTAAAATATTATATAATAATTTTAATAATAATTTTTATATGTAATAAATGTCATTAACAATATATTTACAGAATCTAATAAATGTTTGTTTCGACTTTCTTTCCTAGTTGGTTTAAATCAAATAACTACACTAGGTCAATAACAACACCTAGCTTAAATTTAATTTGCTAAACTTATAGAAAAATGTCCTCCAAATATATACCAAAGCCAAAGGCCAATAAGACAAGCACAGAAGAACTCCCATCCTTTTATTATCAATCAATCACCACAAACACTCAATACAAGACAAAACCGTGCCATTTGTACTTAACCGTCACCACAAACTTGCCCGAAACAACCACAAACACAAGACAAACGTCCCAAATAATTCAAAAACATAACCTCAAAAGACAAACCCTAAAAAATGTACCACGTCTTTCAAAATCCCACATTTTCTCCCCAAAAGCATATGACAATGCAAACCAAAAGAAAACAATAGCATGGATACAAACAGTGAAAGCATAATATTTTTTTGAAAATTTTCATGGGCTCAAGACTCTAAGGTGTCCCCCTCTCGGTCACAATGGAGGCCTTTTCAAACAACACAATATCAGGTATTAGAGCTCCACTTACCGTTGATGAGTCTGATTTTGAATATTCCCCAGTTTCATCGAAGAGCCGTAGAAATAGCATGGCCAGTAGCTATTACAGTAATAGTGAGCTTGATGAGTGCGAGGGTTTTGCAAATGAGGACAATCTTGAAAAAACTCACCCTTTTCATGAACTTGATTTCTATAAGCCTTATGCTGTAAACCCAGGTGAAAATGGTTTTCCTAGGCCTTTTATGAGGAACCCAGGTGAGGAATCTACTCGAGAAAGTAGTCAAGTTGATAAAAATTCAGTTTTTAGTGCTTCTGTTGCTGTTGGGAACCCGAATGAAAGAATTTACAGGGTTATTAGTATTGTTAATGACTCTGATGATGATTCTAATTCTAAATCATTCTTGAGCGAATCGGGTGATGAATTAGTTGAAAATGAGAATTATGGCTTGAGTGATAGCAGCTCCAGACCCGTTGTGGAGCAGAAGTTGCATATTCCAATTGCCAAGTTATCAAGAGACAGTGATGATGATTCGCAGGGCAGTGGGGCCTTTGAAGATGACGGTTTTTTGGGTGTTGTAAAGGTCCCGAGTTTTGATGTTCTGAGTAGACTTAATAGTGCCCCTAAAGTTAGAATGTCGGAGGATGATGACGTGGATGAATGCGAGTGGCAAGCTGAAAATATGGTAGAAATGGAGTTTGTTAAGGATTTGGTGATAAGTAATGATGTTTTGGGCCCTGAAGATGAAAAAGAGCATACCGATGTGGAAGATGTAAAAAACTGTGTTATATCGTATGAGACGGTCCAAGATGGAGGCCATGATGTTAATGGAGAAGATAAAGCTAATTCTTTGGCTGTGAATATACCAGAATCAGAGGAAAATAGTGGTCTCGTGCATTTAGATGGGGAAATTCCAGAAGTTGGTGTGGCTGATGATGGGAAAACGTGCATTTTGGAGGAAAATCCTTTTTCCAATAACTGCGTTGAATGTGAGAAACTGGAAACTGAGAGAAAACCAAATGTTGAGGTCACAGTTGATTCCTTTAGCTCGATTGGTGCCAGCAAAAACCAATCTCTTAATCAGTGTGTTGATGTAATCAGGAATGTGCATGAATTTCTTGTTACGCCTGAGTCCTTCACAGAAAACGTGCAGGCTAGTATTTCTGATGGGCATTTAGGAGATGATGATAGCTCGACTGAAGGTGATGACAGTCAATCTGAACTCGATGTCACCATAATGGACCAGGAATTGGAGAAAGAAGCTGACATGGAAAGTGGTATTGATACATTCTCTTCTGAAGAGATTTTGTTAGATCATTCACAAGAGGTTGTTTGCCAGATTTCTACAGACTCGGATGATAGTGCTGCTTTGAAGCCGCAATCTGTTGATGGTACAAAAAACTATTTTGCAGAAAGCGCCTCATGTAATTTGTGTTCCAATTCAGTTTCTTCAAGACCCAATATTGAAGCAAGAAATTGTGATCTTTTGGTGCTGCCCTCGACTTATAGTGAACAAGATGGAAGTTTTAGTGTAGGAGAGAGAAAGAAGAAGCCCGAGAAAATACAACAGGCACGAGTAAAATACTTGCAACTCGTCCACGGTTTTGGTCGTTCTCCGGATGATTCTTTGGCTTCAAACGTTTTGAGACAGCTGTCGATTGCCGAGGCAAAATACTCAACTCTGGAAGTTTTTCCCGATCCTTCTAGAAACGAGGCTGTGGAGATTCAAGCACGAGAAAATGGCAATATGGACTTTTCACTCTGCATCCTAGTGATTGGGAAAACTGGAGTCGGTAAGAGTGCGACTGTGAATTCAATCTTCGGTCAAAGTAAGACGATGGTCAATGCATTTGAGCCGTCCACGAGTCGTGTGATTGAAATTAACGGTGAGATTAATGGTGTCAAAGTCAAGATTTTCGACACCCCAGGTCTCGGAATCTCTTCTATCGACCAATCTTCCAATTGGAAAATTTTGTTGTCGATTAAGAAAATAATGCAAAAATTTTCACCAGATGTTATCTTATATGTCGACCGTTTGGACACGCAATTTAGTTACGTCAATGATTTGCCCTTACTAAAATCAGTTACTTTGTGCCTGGGCCTTTCAGTATGGCAAAAGTCCGTTCTTGTTTTCACACATTCAGATTTATTGCCTCCAGATGGGTATCCCTTAAGCTACAATGAATTTGTTGCTGATCAATCCCGGGCATTTCAACAGCTAATCAGCCTATCAGCTGTTGAGATTAATAGTGATGAGATGATTCCAACAAGCTTAGTCGAGAACAACCCATTTTCTGAAAATAGTGTTAATGGTGGTGAAACTTGGAGATCAAGGCTGCTATTTTTATGTTGCTCGATGAAGGTTTTATCGGAACTGAATTCTGTAGTTAAGATTCATAATACGTTTGACTGTACGAAGTTGCTTTTTGGATACGATTTTTTAGAATCCTTCAGCCAGATTCTTACAAGGCCAGTTTTTGAGTTGTCCGATGATTGCATTTATGATAATCTCGACAATGAAAGCCATTTGCCAGCTGTAACATTGGTTCGGATTGCTAAGGATAAAAAGGAATTCAACATCCAGTTACGTTCGTTAGTCTGGAAAAAGGGATCTGCCTTTGCAAGATTAGATGGTCAAACTTTTGGCAAGAACGAGAGATTTTCTAACACAGGCAAGGGCCGTCTGGACAGGAAGCTGAGTGGAAAGATTTCTGTAAAGACAAGCTATTCAGGTCAGCTTCAGATTTTGGGTTTGGTTTTCTTTCCTCTTGCTAAAGCCTTGTTTGACAAGATTTTCAGGCAACCGGCCCATGATTAGTTGGCATATGATGATCTGTTTTGAGAAAGCCTGAAAGAAGTTTTGCTAGATTTTCTTATGCAAAGTTCTGTTTCTAGTATGTTGTCTGTATTCAGATTTGTTCTTTGTGAGGTTTCCCTTAATTTGTAGACCAATGAGTTGTATGTAAAACTCATGTGAAATATTACTTTCATGTCAAAATTTCTGATTTCGTGTTGTACATAATTCTTCCTAAGTTTCAGCATTCTGTGAAACTTTTTGTTAGTTTCAGTACTACTTCAGGTCGATTGATTCTCAGCTTAATCTGTCAACTCTTTTTAACTGTTACAATACTTTGGTTGTTACATCTACACAAAAATGATATATCGATCTTCCTTTATTGAAGCGCAATGCATGCAAACTATGTAAATGGAAACCAAGATTCATAAGTACAATACAGGCAAAGTGGCAGATCACTTGGTGTTAACAAGTGCTTTAGAATCATGTGATAAATGACTTTTGAAAGAAAAAAAAAAAAAATGTTGACACTCAAATAAACAACTAAATTAGAAAGAGATTATTTCAAGAAACCATAAAAAGTATATAACATTTATCACATGCATCTGAAAACCCCTATTTTTTTTTTCAGCTGAAAAATCCCTAATTTTTAGGGCACTTCTCACTATACAAACAAACAAGCAACAATATACCAAGTATATTCCCAACAGGTTGGTGTCTGAGGGGTCAGTTGTACGTAGACCTTACCCTTGTAATTATACAAGGAGGCTGTTTCCGTAGCAACCCAAGGTGCATTGCGCCGTTTGATATATTTTTTTTTTCTAGAAACTTCACTAATAGAAGAACCACTAGAATTTAATTGAGCCATTTTGATTTAGTCCATTATTAGCACTATGCCAGGAGAATTGTCAACAATGACTCTTCTAGCTCCATTTGCAATGGACAGGAGGGCACCTCTCACTATAATCAAATAATATGGAACTGCAAAAAAATGATTCACATGATTTCCATTAATTCTAACAACTAGTATAGAGCCCGTGCGATGCACGGGGTGCACAATTTTAAGGCTATTTATCCAGACTTATAATTATATACATGAATAAAGAAAAATGTACGGAATATATATAGTACGTGACCCGCGAGATATATTTATTTGGAGAATATTATATTATAAGATGCAATATTCAATAAAAGTTTATAATACGCAAGAAATTATACGATGTTCAATAAAAATTTTATAATATTCAAGTGGAGTCTTAAAGTCTCTTGTACATTAAGGCTACTGACAAAATAATATTTTCATCAATGAGTTTCATTTCCTTGTAGCCAAATTGTGAATGTGATTTGAGGAGTACAACAAATCGATATATAGCTGACTTGTTTTTTTCATTGTAGTTTTTTTTTCTTTTTTTTTTTTTTATGATGAATTTAAAGATATTCTAAAATATAGCAAAAATTAATTTTTTTATTACAATTAGGAATTTTACTAAATATAAACTCTCAATCTATGGTGTTAATCAACGTTTAAGTCTAAAAAATTAGGAATTTTTACCTCTTTTAATCAACGTTTAAGTCTAAAAAACAATAGAGTTATTATAAGTTTTTTTTTTACATCTTTTAAAACATTAAATATGAGCATGTTAGGGCTAGCTTGTAAAATAATTAATATATTATCTCACTAAGACATTTATACTAATAAAAATTTAATTTTAGCATATAAATATATCCCTTGATATAAGATAAAGTAACAGTTTTACTTATTGTTGTTCACCATATAATATTTAATTATTATTTTATTATATAATAAAAAAAGAATATTGTTAATAGTGTAGTAGAATTGTTATAAAATTATATGAATTTTTCTTTTTACAATATGGATTTAATATTTTTTATGATTTGATAATATAAACATATCTATACTTAACATTTGACAAATAAAACAAATAAATATTTTAGTAAGTATTTAATGTATATACTAAATAGGAATATATTTGGTATAATCAAATACCAAATATAATCAAATAAGTCAAAGTGTACATTTTTATTTAGTATTTAATTTTTTTATTATTAAAATCTTTTTATTATACTTACCTTTTTAAAATAAAACAAATAAATAAATCAATTAAATAAATAAAATATTATAATACCAAAATAGTAATGACATTTAATGCAGTTGACTTTTCTGGATAATAAATGTAGTAAATAGAATATCTTTTTATATAATATAATACGGAAATAGTAATGCAATAAATGCTGTTGACTTTTCTGGCTACTTAATTTGGTAAATAGTACCCCCTTTAATATAAGTATAGATTTACGATTAATTGAACAAAAAAACCTTACTGTCATGAGGTTGTAATCCATCCTTGCTTCTTCTTGCCGTGGATTCAGATGGCCCGTCGTAATTCTGAACTTAAGCATACCAATTCAAGCTCATAATACACTTTATTTGATTGAGGTGAATCAAATAAATCAGATGAATTGAAAAAATTATGGTGGATAACACTACATCACATGAATCTCGAAACAATTAAGGTTTTCTTTAGGGCCTCATCCTCCTCGAAAGCTCTATCCTCCCGCTCTCGACCTCGCTTTCCTCCACCGCGTCGACCACCCTGGTCCTCCCTATCCTCCCGGACATCATCTTGGTCCTCCCTCTCGTCATGATCCTCCAACACCTTCTTTTCTCCTTCTTCTCCCTATTCAAGAATACAAATTCCTAAAGGCTCCGTTTGTTTTAAGGGATTTGCTGAGGGATTTGAAATCCATAGATTTCAAATTTACAAGTTCAAATGCTCATGCATGTTGGGATGATAATGGAAGTTGGAGGATTTCAAATTCATGCTCGTTGTTTTTTAGTCATTATTTTGAAGGATTTTAAATAACTCCTCAAACTTAGACATTTGAAATCCACAGTTGACGACCACGCCGTCCGCGATCATTTAGGTTCATCACTACCACGAGTCAACACTATCGGTGCGAGCTAGACAATTTATTTATAATATTTTCAACAAATCCATTCAAGGAGTGTGCAAGTAAAAAAATATATATTTCAAAAATTTTGAAATCAAGGGATATCAAATCTCTCAAAACAAACGGAGCCTAAGGTGATTTTCCTGAAACAACCTCTCAATCTACCTTTAAGATGTCGACAATTGTCTGTCGTATGACCATAGTAGCAGTGAAACCTACAGTATCGACCAGACTTCGGTTGCGTCAGTTCATCCTTCTCGACTTTGGCCATGTTACCGCTCGACCATCAATTCTTTGCTCGATTGCTTCGAGCACCTCCGCCATTTGCATTTTCAGTGGTGTATACTTCTCATAACTATGACCATTATTTAGAGGTCGATCTTGCCATCTGTTTCCCTTTAGCCTCTACGGCATATCCTTCTTCGGTGAGTGTGCCCTCCCATTCTTAACCTCCGTTCGAGCCATCTACTCAAGCTTTGCTAACTCTTCTTTCGTCTCCTCCATGGTAACATACTTTTTTCCTCTCTTCAAGACCTCATCATAAGTTTGAGCTGGTTTCTTGGCTAGAGAGCTTCGACACGGGTCAGCTCGAAGACTCCTAATCAAACCTCCAGCCTTGACCTTGTCAGAGACCGAGGGGATCTTCACACATGCTCGATTGTATCTGTCCACGTAATTCCTCAAGGACTCACTCTCTTCCTATTACATTGCCATCAACGTCAAGTAGGCCTTCTCTTGAGCAATCGAACTAGCGTACTGGTTTAGAAACAAGCTCGAGAAATTCTCAAAGCCCTTCACCGACCTTGGGGGAAGCTAGTGAAACCAGTACTGAGCTCCTCCTCTCAAGGTGGCTAGGAAAGCTCAACAACAAACCGTGTCTGGGTACCATGAAATATTGCCATGTTTTCAAACGACCTCACATGTCTTGATGGGTCAGATTGACCTCCTTAAAGTTCGGTGGTAACACAACATCGAGGACCTCCCGAGAAAAGAGATGCCCTCTAGCTCGACCAACTGCCTTCCCATCGACCTTGACTTGCAATTGACAGATCCTCTGCCATCCTCTCTACCACTCGATCTTTATATGCTCTTGTGTCTCGACTACACGACTCGTCAACCTCCATGTCCTGCGTGTTCGTTTTTACCACCGTAGTAGACGTGGTAGTTGGCTGAGATGTCTGGTGAGTGACCTGTTGGGCTGCTCCAACTGCAAAGACATTGCCATCATCCTTTCGAGCTCTTCTATGGACATTGTAACCCGCTGTCCCTGCTCGGCCTTCCTCCTAGGTGGCCCCATCACTTGGGACATTTCTCTCTTCGACTGCGTTTGAACTAGATTTGCGACCTCATAGGTGGTTCAGGCCTCTAGCCGGTTGCTCGGCCCTGCAACTGGGACTGGGACTGCCGATGAGTTTCCTAAGCCTGTAGGGCATCGTGGTCACTAAGGTCTAAGATGGCCCTATCAATTGTTGTTTTTTTTTTTTTTTCAAAATTAAAANAATTAAATTTTAAACACATTTTTTTAATCATGGCAACAATGTTTTTCTCTTAAATTAATATTTAATGTGCCTATTATTTTCATTTTTTAGAAGAATTTTGAAGCATTGGCTTCCAAATTGATAGGTCAGTGCCCTCGAACGCTATTGCCTATCAAGTCTCAACTCCGTGGGAATTGGTTGAAATGACCTTCCCCGTTAACAAAATTGGCCAAATGACCTTTGACTCAAAAGGAAAAAATAAACTTAATGAAAAATGATATTACAAAGACAATTACTAATATATCCCTTAACATAAATTTTTTAAACTTCCTTTTCCTTCCCTGATTTCTTGTGTGTGTGCTGCGATAAGAATAATTTTTTCTTCGCTCTCTCTCTTGCCATCGTCGCCCTCGCCCTATCTTCACGATTTCTCTGTCGTTATCTCGCACTCTCTCGGGCCCTCTCTCACGAAATCACCGCCGATCGAGCTCCCTTTCATTTTGTTGGAAACAAACCAGAGGTATGGAATTTTTTTATATCCTATTATTTGTTATTTTTCTTGTAATAGATCCC